AAAATATTCGCGCACCTCTTATTATCCATCAAAATTCAAATCCCCCGTCAAGTACTTGAACTCTCATTTTTCCATTTAAAATTCACACACATTCAATCCACCTCCACGTATATTCTCTCACTCACACTCTGTCGCATTTCGTTCGCAATTCATGATTACAGTTTTATCGTTTCGATTTTTTTTATTCCACCTTGTAAATCACCACTTTAATATATATTTTTTTTGTCATTTTCTTTTTTTCATTTTTTATTTAAAAAAATACTGAATTAACCAAGCTAAAATCACAGACTTGCTGGACACCACGTACCCAGCGGTTATTTTTTTCGTCATTTTCTCATTATTTTTTTTGTACAAATTCTTCCTGAAGGACTCTATGTATAATTACAAGTTTTGCTGAAGAGTGTATATATTTTAATTACAATTGAATTCGTGGAATTAGTTATTATCGCAGACACTTTATTTGCACGCAAATTCCAATTAAATGCTGATAACATTTTCTTTTGTTTTCATAGACTGTTCTGATTATATCTAAAATATAATATATATATTTATATATAAAGTTGTTTTTTCATCTTTTCACTGTACAGTAATCACGAATTTATACAAAAATGAGAGTGAAATTATTAAAATGTAAAAAATTTCAGCATTTAATTCGTTTTCGTTTAATTTAGCTGCAATTTACAAGTTTAAAATAGTGCGTAAACTGAACCTGTCGAATGACGATACAAGTATTATGGGAAGAAAATGGAAACTGATGGATGAAATGTTAAATAAATCATCAGGAGGTACCAGTTTAGCCATGATTTTGTATGGGCGCGTATTAATACAACTAAAAATGTCGGGGTGAATGTACAATGGGGGGTAGTTCTTCATGAGTTTTGTGTCTACGTAGGTCATTCCACCAAATGTTGAACCAAAATAGACCATGTTGTATGTACAATTCATCTCGTGAAAGTTTTTTCCATTTTTTACCCAGAAAAGACAAAGAATTGCAAAGATGAATGTAATTTCACATTCAATTATACAATTATTGTTCTCCTTCATGAACAGAATTTTAATTGACTCGAAATTCGATAACTAACGGCTATTTTGGCGAAGGATTCGCTGGAATAGACCTAAAATCCCAATTATTTGTTCGTTATTAAAATTTATCGGAGAGAACGCATTAATTATGTCAACCAATACCACCAAATATTGTCTTTACATGAATTCATTTTACTCATTTCACCGTTTACGATAATCACAGATGTGTTTAACACTAATTGCTACGTACACAGAGCCTTCCCCCAAAAAGCGTCTGACAAGACGATAATTGAAATCCGTCTCCTTGGTATCACCTTGAAATATTTGTTTTCTCATCTCTTTCATATTCTCAGGCATCTCATCGGAACGATTTAATCTGCGAACTTGTTTCATTCGTTCACTGCACAATTATCACACATTCATTCGCTCAACAAATTCATTCAATTACTCATCATCATTTGTTTTTTTTATCACGTTAACGAGGGACCAGCCATCCCTGAACTACTGAAATTTGCGAAGTGAGAGAAAGAAAGAGGGTGATAATAAAAAATAATATATCATTTGTACGATTATTTCGGTGGCATGTTACGGGTTGATTGATAACTGGTGATAATTTTGTGATAGCAAGAGTGGATGGAAAAATTTAATAGAAAACAAAAATCAGATCTTTTCCGAGGTGAATTTCTAGTGAATTTTGGGTAAAATGGTATTGAACAATTCTGCTGATTGTTGGGAAGAAGTCGGCGGTTTTTTATTTTTATGTGGGAATTCTTGGGGATGAATTTTGCAGGTTTTTCAGATGTATTTTAAGTCGTTTTTTAGAATAACATCCAAGAGAGAAAGCTTGGAACATTGACTCCCAAGAATTCTTATGGGAAAAAAACCGCGACAGAATCGACTGTACAAAAAAATCAAAATTTATTATTTTTTACTAGAAATGTGAATTAAAAAGGACACGTTAAAATTGTGTAATTATTCGTAGAATTGGCGGACAACATTAATGGAATTTTTTGATAGAGTTCCAATACAATTCTCATAAAGTGTTGATTTAAAGGAATGAGAAGTCTTGAAGTTCAGTTAGAATTCTTTTTAACAGAAATTTCTAAAATATTATTGGTCCAATTCTATTAAACATTATGCAATTTTATCAAGTCATTATTCCAAGAGCTATTTGGTGGGAAAAAATCTAAAATCTACTTTTTTCTATTAAAAACATTAATTGAAAAACTCAGGATAAAGTTGTACAATTTTTTATAGAATTGGAGCAACGATAGATTTTTTAATAGAATTCCAAAAAATTGGGGAAAAACCGCGACAGAATCGACTGTACAAAAAAATCAAAATTTATTATTTTTTACTAGAAATGTGAATTGAAAAGGACACGTTAAAATTGTGTAATTTTTCGTAGAATTGGCGGACAAAATTAATGGCGGACAAAATAAATTCTATTAAACATTATGCAATTTTATCAAGTCATTTTTCCAAGAACTATTTGGCGGGAAAAAATCTAAAATCTACTTTTTTCTATTAAAAACATGAATTGAAAAACTCAGGGTAAAGTTGTACAATTTTTTATAGAATTGGCGCAACGACAGATTTTTAATAGAATTCCAATGCAATTCTCATAAAGTTTCGATAAAAATTCAACAGAATTTTATATTAAATTTTCACATACGCGATACTGTTGATAAAAACGAATGAGAAGTCTTTTGGATTTCTGTTAGAATACTTTTTTAACAGAACTTTCTAAAATACTATTGCTCCAACTCTATCGAAGATTATGCAATTCTATCGTGTCCTTTTTGGAAATAAAAATTTTTGGGCATGAATTTTCCAACTTTTTCCCATCGCATTTTAATTGTCTTTTATAATAAAATCCACGAAAAGAAAAATTGAAAAATTCATTCTCGACAATTTTTATAGAAAAAAAAATAAAAATCTACTTTTTTCTCTTAAAAAAAAATCGGTTGAAAACTCCAGGAGAAAACTGTATAATTTTCTGATAGACTCCCTCAGAGAAAGCTAGCCTCTTAAATTAACTTTTTCCATCCATGAAACTTGCTACAAAAAACCTGAATATCCCGGGTACAACTCTCGTACAATTAAATCCCTTCATTTCGCGAATAAAATCACAGTTGTTTTAAAAAGGATGTAATATACAATAAACAGATCACAAATACGTACACGTACCTGCGCTCCAATTCTACATAAAATGCTATGTGTCTATGTACATTTACACATACTATTAAATTTTCTCTCCTGTCCCTCCAACTTCCCCCCTCATATTTCTACATCTCGTATTTAAATTTGAGGTCTTTGAGAGATTTGACATGATGACGGTGGCGATTAATCATTAAAAAGGGGTTGGACGCGTTTAATCTCGATGTATATTGTGCCGTGATATCAAGGATTGTCCGTCGTTGTTCATAAAAATCAAAAAAATTCAGTAGCGAAGCGACAAACCCTTCCAAGCCGATTTCGACAATTGTCTGGCCAAGTCGACTTGAGGGGAAACGGAATCCCTGTGTCTATATGAACTTTTAGAATTGTTTTCTCCAGCAATTATTATTTTTTATTCATGAAAGTGCTTGATTGACTCAAAAATGAAATGATTGAATTATTTGTTATTCACGAAAGTACTTCATTGACTCAATGCACTGATCACATTATTTTTTATTCATGAAAATACTTCATGGACTCAAAAATGCAATGATAGAATTATTTGTTATTCATAAAACTTCTCCATTTACTCAATAATGCAATGATCGAGTCAATAAAGTGGTTTCACAGATGAAAATAAATAGCCGTAGAAGAAAACAAAATTCTATAATTTGATATAGACAAAGGGAATTCGTTTCCTCTCAAGGTGAAATGGAATCCCTGTGTTTATATGAACTTTAAGAATTATTTTCTCCTGCAATTTTTATTTTTTATTCGTGAAAGTGCTTGAGTCAAAAATGCAATGATAGAATTATTTTTTATTCATGAAACTTCTCCATTTACTCAATAATGCAATGATCGAGTCAATAAAGTGATTTCACAGATGAAAAAAAATAGCTGTAGAAGAAAATACATTTCTATAATTTGATATAGACAAAGGGGATTCGTTTTCCCTTAAGGTGAAATAGAATCCCTGTGTTTATATGAACTTTAAGAATTATTTTCTCCTGAAATTATTATTTTTTATTCATAAAACTACTTTATTAACTCGACAATGCAATAATCGAGTCATTAAAGCAGTTCCACAGATAAAAATTAATAACTCTACGAAAAAACAATTCCTAAATTTGCTACAGACAAAGAGGATTCCCCCTCCCTCCTGAATTTCCTTCTCTTCCCTAAAAAAACATCATCCCACGTGTCCTTGAGAACTAAAAATGAATGCAAAGCCGAGACGAAATGTAAATGAAAAAGTGAAAATAAACGATGGATTACAATCACAACGATTAATAACAATAAAAAAAGTATTGAGATCAGTTATCTTGCACGAGGCTAGTACATGTTTTATCTCATTGACGTTGTATTCCACCGATGACGCAGTATCCTCACGATATCCTCCCAGTGGTGGTGCGACAGAACAGTCGGTTGGAGTCAGATGGACGGACTTGTTGTACGAGTGTTGGCTAATGGACGGCGAGCGTCCAACATGGCGATGAGAGACAGAACCCCCAACTCTCTCCCACCCCCTCTCACTGATGAATCCCAGTCTCTCTCTCTCTCTCGTTCCAATCGAGAACATAAGAAACATTTGGCAAAAAAACGCGATCTCATCTGATAATTCCACGTGAATACAAAGAGTAGTACGAATTCCATTTAATCATCAGGGCTGTTCATTATCGGGCAAAATGTTGACTAATTTTTCCCATTAAAAATTGAATAATCGGTGGCGAAACAACACGAGGAAACACGAAGATCAATGTGGGCGTTTATAATATTCAATAATTTGTAATTAATTCGATGAATTGATTTGTCTTCTCCATTGTTGAACCGTTCAACTTGATACAAACGCTGCTATTTGTTCGTTGAACTGTGAGTGCTCGTATATCAGTGAGTCCTTGCAGCTCTCGTACTGCTGCTGCTGGGAGTGCGAGGCTGGCAATGGTGACGACGCCGTTGACATTGAGGACACCGAGCTGGAGGAGCAGCTCGACGACACTGACGACGAGGAAGACGATGGTCTCGACGTCATCCCCTCGGGATCAGGCTCTGTTCTCTCGTACAAAACACAGATCGAACCGTTTTCACCGATACGATAGGACACCTCAGCTGGATCAATCCACATTGTCAATTCACTTGGGAACAGTGTGTGCAACACTGTCGGCAGTAAACCGACATTTCTCCCCGCAAGTGCTATCACTGGATCCATTTTGCCATTGATACGTAAACAACGATAGCCAGAGCCACGATTTGGACGGTCTGGAAACCAGTGGTCTCTGTAGCGTCTACGTAACACTTCACTCAACGATGACTTGAATTCGTCGAGTTGACGCTCCGACAGCTGGCCAGCCTGTAGCCGGAGCAATTGAACGAGAAAGTCAGCCGCCGATATTATTTCCAACTTCATGATTATTCCGCACCACTCCCGCGACTCGAGAATTTTATTCGTATTATTTTACGCTCGGGCTCGTCGCTTATTTATTTCAGCTTTTTTTTTTTTCGGAGTACTCGGTGGCCCCCTTTTACTCTGTCAGGGGTCACGGTGTGCAGCGTTCAGCAACTTTCCAAATGGCCACAGTATTCTCAAAATGGCGTCGCCACTGCACGTAGCGGTTGTTAGAGCGTTGCCACTCCAGCTCGAACGAGTCGTAATTAACCTTCCGTTACCAACGACGATTTATTTTCTATTGTTGCACTTCGGGCTTTTACGCTTCTCTGTTCACCGCGGTAGGTTGATTGTCGTGGGGGTGAGAACACAACGGGCACTTCACTACAACCGGTCTGCGAACTGCGTAAAATCGGGTTTTTAATTGCGTTGTTAATTAATCGTCACTTTGGCGAGGGCTCGCGATCGGTTACTGATTTGTTTTCGTCTCCGAAATTTAGCAGTTGACTGGGTTTATTTAGCTTCAGTTTACTTTGAATGAGTTGTGTTTTTTTTTTATGGTTTTTCCGAATAGAAACTAGTCACGAACCGCACCTAACCACTGCCGAGGACTTTCTAATGGCTCCGCACTGGTGATGCTTCATGAGCAAGACTCAATTCTTTGTTCATGGAGAAACGGGTGGTGGCACCAAACGTCGACCAATCAGCGCGCCTCTACCATCACCCACTCTATGGTTTCATTACTCCCACTCCACGGTTTCGGGGGGACCACGTGATGGCTCTGCGCACAGCCAACAGTAGCGGGATTACGGGTGTGTAAGGTGATGGATATTAGAGGGGGGGG